TGCTGTGTAACAGCAGTACAAAATGCATATTGTTACGGGGTTGTCTGTGTGTGTGTTTGTGTGTGTCTTGTCCGCAACTTTCAACTCGAGAACCACAAAAGCTAGGAAGCTGAAAATTTAGGGTAATGTTCCCCACCCACGTGTGACTGTCCGCAACTTTCAACTCGGGAACCACAAAAGCTAGGAAGCTGAAAATTTAGGGTAACGTTCCCCACCGCAACTTTCAACTCGGGAACCACAAAAGCTAGGAAGCTGAAAATTTAGGGGAACGTTCCCCACCTACACCGCAAATTTAAAATTCAGCTTCCCCGTACCCGCGGGTAACGCGTACGGCCCTGTGAAAGTTTTTTACGGGTAAGTTCCCCGTACCCGCGGGTAACGCGTACGGCCCTGTGAAAGTTTTTTACGGGTAAGTTAATATCTTGGGGACCACGGAGTCTAGGGGGCTGAAATTTTAGGGTAATGACCCACTGCCCACCTTCAACCTTGCCCACTCAAATTCAGCCTTCCCTTACCCGCGGGTAATACGTACGGCCCCGTGAAAGTTTTTCACGGGTAAGTTACAGGTAAGTTAATATCTCGGGAACCACGGAGTCTAGAAGGCTGAAGTTTTAGGGCAGTGACCCCCTGCCCATCCTCAACCTTACCCATTCAAATTCAGCCTTCCCTTACCCGCGGGTAATACGTACGGCCTCGTGAAAGTTTTTCACGGGTAAGTTAATATCTCGGGAATCTTGCAGTCTAGGAGGCTGAAGTTTTAGGACAATGACCCCTGCCCACCCTCAACCTTGCCCATTCAAATTCAGCCTTCCCTTACCCGCGGGTAACAAGTACCGCCCCGTGAAAGTTATTCACGGGTAAGTTAATATCTGGGGAACCACGGAGTCTAGAAGGCTGAAGTTTTAGGGCAATGACCTCCTGTCCACCCTCAACCTTGCCCATTCAAATTCAGCGTTCTCGCGCTTTCGGTTACCACCTACGGCCTCGTGAAAATTTTGCTGGATAAACTATTAACTGGGGAATCACGGAAAGATATC